GTCTTTTTGTCCCCCTGTGTGTAGGGGCTGGGGGGCCCCCCCCCCCCCCCCCCCGTGGCTTCCTGACTCGACGCCCCGAACTTGCACTGAAACTAGGTGTGTGTTCTGCTGCCAGATTTATAGTTCACCATAGATAGCTCAGTTACAGAGTCATGTTGGCCCCTCGTCCAACTAGGACAGTATCAGTGAGGTCCTTCCTTTCGTTGAATGTAGAGGCCCCATTTCGAAACACATGAATGGCGATGGGTCCCCCACAGGGCCCGAAGCTGACGAAGTTAAGCAGAAAATTACTGTCCTGCTCGTGCAGCTAACTGCATTATCGAACCATGTGTGGAGAACTGTTGAAACTGTGGTACGCAGTTTCATGTGGAATTTGGAAATCCAAGCTGCTAAATAAACGGGGTCGCAGGAACCCTGAAGAAATTTCCTGAACTTGCTTCAGTTCATAAGCAACGCACTGGGGTAATTGTGTCAGAGTCCTGGCGTCAGACCTCTTCGACGCCGTCCGTACTGTTGCTTCAGATGAATAGTAGGATGACTGAGGCTGTCGTGACAGTGAAGGTACTATCCCAGCATTCGCATGGAAGTCTTTAGGAAAAAAACAGAGTGTCTGGAGGGGGATAGCCGGTGCCGAGCTGCCCGGGAACACAAGCGAGGAGCGGTATCGCTGAGCCAGTCTGTCCGTCTCCTTGTTTCAGCGGCTTATGTTCTCGTGTCGTTTTGTTGCAGGAAACGGCCCTAAGGAACACAAAAAGGACGCGCTGTCGCCCACCCGAGCTGCCTCCGGTAAGTCCATACGACTGCAGTGTTTCAGTCGGTATTGCATTATCTGTTCTGCCGTAAAGAATATTTCTGTACGATTCATATTGTTATTAAAGTTGGCCCTGTACTTAATTAGTTAAACACCACGCCATGAAGACGTATGGGGAGTGGAGGTATAGATCAATTTTTCTTGACCTCTGCATTAGATAATGAATGGTCAGCTTCACGCCCCGGCAGCTTTACCCCCAGGAAAGAGTCCGCACTACCCATTGGGTAGGAGGCTTGGTGAGCCCCAGAGCCGAGCTGGACGTTATGGAGAAGAGAACAATGCCTTGCCCCTGCCGGGAATTGAACCCCAGCTATTACCGTTACTGTTACTACGAGTATTAGTAGGAGGCGGTGTAGTTCAGTCGGTATAGCGACTGGCTACAGGCTGGACGAAGTTCGAGTCCTGGCCGGGGTAAGATTTTTCTTTTCTCCACAGCGTCCAGACCGGCTATGGGTACCGGGGTTAAACCGGCCGGAGTGTGAATCTGACCACTCACTAACAACTAGTGGGTCTATACATCCATCTCTCACACGCCTTCAAGTTCTTAATTACAGTAGGACCTCACTAATTGGGACTAATTGGGATTGTCCAGATTAGTGAAAGCCTGAATTATGGAAGAGCTACTGAAAATATGTTCAGGGAAATTATAAAATGGACTTTACATGTCTTTTTAGTTGATACAGTTTTATTTTGAAACATCAAATTTCATAAATTTACTCACACTTGACATAAAATGTAAAATGTAAGTTTTGACATCAGTCTCGAAAACAAATTATGTAGCCTACATCCTTGGTATTACTGAGACTGTGTTTAAAAAAATTAACTTATTTTGTAAGATTCGAGGTTTTCACGGCGGTGACTTTGGTTCTCCAAATTAGCGAGGTTTCAGGGACTTTACTGTTCGTAGCATTGCCGGCACTGCTTATGGAGACATCACTTTGATGCTTTTTGTGGCGCTAAATGTTGCCCCCTCTGACCCCGAAATAGTCGGCCTTCGCGTTCCTACTCGGAACATTCTCGACTTGAACATGCTCCAGCCACTGCCCTTGGGTTAGACGCTGATTCAACCGCAATTGCAGTTTGTAAACTTACCGATGTTCATAGGAACTCTTGTTTGAGTGTTAAATCTTAAACTAGTTAGTTCATTTTTCTTTGTTTCTCTTTTTCATTATGTTGTTTTGCTCTGTGCTGTTATTTTGCTGCCGTTTGTATCTGTGCTGACTCTGGCTATTGGCTGTTCAGCTCAGCAGGTAAATGGATTATATAAAGCTGTGTGTCAGAACGTATCGAGTTCATCATATCGCGCCTGCGCAGTCTAAACTGCCTGTCGGCCATAGCTATGGGTGCTAAGCGACAGATTTTCCGCGAGCAGTTCGCTGGTACCAGTTTAATGTGATGGCAAGTAACTTCTGAGGGAGTGAAGAAGGAACCTTTTGCCTTGTACGTTCCCCATCCACACACACCTTCTTATCAGCTGCCCCCCATCCCCCCTGTTTGACACTTCCGTCCGGCTTGCTTCTTGGCATCTCGGTTTTGTATCGCAGAGTAGTACTGTCTTCCAGTATATAACGCTCTGTAGTCCGTTGAAAGTTAACCGATGTTTCGGAGGAACACATCGCTTCCAGCTTCAGGATCTGAGAATAAGCCAGGCAAGAAATCAGCGTGAAATCAGGTGGCTCTGCTTGTCACCCTCTTTTTCATTCTGGTTTCTTGCGCACGGATTATTCTTCGATTCTGAAGATGGATGCGATATGTTCCTCTGAAGCGTCGGTGGACGTTCAACGGACTACGTGGCGTTATATCCCGGGGGATAGAACTCTTCATAACGCCCGCTATGAGAACCTCAAATCCTACGCAGTTGGTGTGCATTCTTTCGCTGACTCGTGTGGAAGATGACGTTACTGGTGACAGATGATGCATTTGTGAATGAACGACTTGACTACAGTGGATACGTGAAACTGATAGACGTGCATATCTGAGGACGAAGCTTTGTACAGTCTCGCGGTTGCCTGGTGGTGCTTTCTGTTGATCAGTAACAGTAAACACTTTCAGAAAGCGCCATTATGGACGCCTTCGGTTCAAAAAGGCGCTTTTAGCTTTACCGTGTAGGTCGGTCTGTACATGTGCACTTCGGAAATGGAGAACAGGTGATAAGATTTTCATTCAATTTCATATTTTGAAGATTCAATATAGTTTGTGGACGCATACAACTTTCGTTAAAACCACAGAGCAAATAAGGAACATTCAAGCGTAACGCTCGAAGAATGTTCCGGACGGGACCTGTTGCACACATTGTATGTTCAGTACGTCTTCTGCCAAGTCTTGCGCCCCCCCCCCAGGTAATTAGACAGAACCTGCATTAACGGGGTGAACGTACAAGAATTGTAACGCTCTGCATCCATGCCCAGACTTGTACCGCCGTTAGCGTGCGCAGTGTACAGTTGTGTTAGAGGAGTCTTGTAAGAATTGCATGTGGACGTTTACAGTTTGAGGATCCGGTAACTGCAGACCGGTTAGTGTGTTCCGGAAGTGTGTTATCAAGTCACAGAAGGGCACACAGCACTTAAGCTGATAGCAGTGGACGGACAGTTTGCGTTTTTCTGCTCCCGTGGTAAGACCACGCCCCCTTCACAGGAGCGGTCAAGCGATTAGTTCACCTGACTGACACATGTGCGCTGCTCGAGCTGTCGGCTCTGTGAAAGTCTACAGGAGGATTATTGTTCGTCGGTGGTAAGACATGAAACTAAGTACCGTGCAAATATCGAGAGCTGCGCAGACGAGGAAAATTGGGACAGAATTGTGAAATCACACAGGATCAGAAGCGTCGCGCTGAAATAACGAAAGAGTAAAATGAGCTACTCACAGACAATAAAGAAACAAATCCACATTCAGCTTTGACGATGCTTGTTCAGACAATCAGCGAATGGCCAGTCGATATTATGGCCTCACAGTTCACCGCTATTCCACAGGCCACACGAAGACGTAAAAGAAAGTACAGGGTTATTAAAAAAGAATGAACCGATTTCATGACTCATTGCTTCAGTTCTCAAGCATCGTCATGGAATGAGTCAGTGACCATTTGAAAGAGGAGTTATCTAAGTTGTGAATGGCTGCCACAGGGGCGCTGAAGTCGCGTCATTCTTCCGGCAACGTTCAGTTCGTTTACCCTCGGAATGGCGAGTCCTCAGCAAAAGGCGTTCTGCGTTCTCGAGTTCGCGAAAACAAATTCGGTTGTCACGGTGCAGCGTGCTTTTCGAAGGCGATTCGGCATTAATCCGCCCTGTCCTAAGAACATTCGACGGTAGTTCCAAGAGAGTGGGTGTCTGTGTAAAGGAAAAAGTCCAGGACGACCACGAGTCTCGGAGGAACAAGTGGCGAGAATCCGTGCTGCGTTTGAGAGGAGCCCGCGGAAGTCAACAAATGGAGCTAGCCGTGAGCTTGCGATCCCTCAATCCACTGTCTGGCGTGTGGTAACAGTACGTCTACATATGAAACCATACAGACTGCAGCTCGTTCAGGCACTTACCAATGACGACAAAAAGAAGCGGATGGAATTTTGCGATTCGATGCTGGAGATGATGGAAGACGAAACCTTCATTTCACGTTTAATTTTCACTTGAGCGGCACAGTCAGTCGTCACAATGTGCGTGTTTGGTGAACAGAGCACCCACATGAAACAGTTGAGCACGAAAGAGATTCCCCTAAGGTGAACGTCTTCTGTGCTGTGTCTCAGGACAAGGTTTATGGTCCCTTTTTCTTTGAAGGAAACACCGTTACAGGACAAACCTATCTCGATATGCTCCAAAACTGGCTCTTCACTTCACTGCAAGCAGATTCGCATGACTTCATTTTTCAACAAGATGGAGCACCGCCCCATTGGCACCTGATGGTCCGAGCTTTTTTAAATGAAAAAGTGCCCCAGCGATGGATTGGTCGGAAAGGGGCCCAAGACCTTGCTCTTTGTGCTTGGCCTGCGAGATCCCCAGACCTCACCGTGTGTGATTTCTTCTTGTGGGTATATGTAAAAGATCACGTTTATGTTCCACCGCTACCCACTAACCTCGATGACCTTAAACATCGAATAACAACAGCGATTAAGTCAGTGCATCGTGATATGCTGATACGCGCCTGGGATGAATTCTCTTATTGCATTGATGTTGCCCGTGCTGCAGGTGGTGGCCACATTGAACACTTGTAAGACAGGAAATAAAAGTTGATTGTGAGTAGAATACTTGTGACTTGGCTGGAGTTTTATACACGCATTACTTTCCTTTAATAAAATCGGTTCATTCTTTTTTAATAACCCTGTATATAAATTGTTTAACATATGCTTCAGAGGTGTATTGCCACTGACCACTGCACTGAAAAAACAAAATGAATCTGATTTCAGCGCGACTTTCTGCTTGGTTTTTTTTTTCTAAAATTCCATCTCTTTCTCAAACATTCGAAGCATTTTTCTTGTAGATGTCCCCATAAAATCTAGCATAAAGGACATTAGCTGCACGGTCAATTGTATTGTACTTAAATACGTAATTATATTATCAAGTATGAGTGACTATAGACGGGATTTTGGATCGGATATTGGATTTATTGACCACTTAGAAGCACAATTCGTAATCACACTAGATTACAGCGCCATCACTGATTTCCACACTTTACAAGTCTTTTCCAGCCCGCATTGTCTTCACTAGTAATTGCCTGGTAACAGCTTCTAACAATGGCAAGTCCTCTGCTTCACGCGCTCAAGTCCTCTCAGAACGGCGGCTGTGTCCCTTTTTTTCACAGACTCCCGTACAGAACTGATTCTAATCGAGTTGAGTCTTATGACCGATGGTCAGTCGGCCAGTCTATCTTGGGATAAAGCGCCCATCCGGGGTTAGGACCAGATTTTTATTACGGTCAGAAAGTTGCGTGTTTGTTGATGTGAGGCGCTGTCTCCCGACGAGAGGACGGGTCTGTCGTTTACAATTGCTGC